TTCTACAATGGGATGAGAGAGTTTGAATAGGCTCGCAATGCTTAATATTAACAGTGATGTTGCTTGTAAAATTGGATTTTTCGTCAATTATAAGCACACAACAAAGTCTGGAAAGCATTCCTAAAATGTGGATGAGAAATTAGATATATCGGTGGGCTGGAGCTGTGCTGGGGCCTCTAAACTCAAAGGGCATCTGTCATTCTCTGAGAGGGCCTGCTTACAGTTGGTTTCTTGTTAAATGAACCAAGCAATGAGAAAGGAAAGGCCAATGCCTTCAATACGGCATTGCTTTTAACAGGGACATTCTGAGTATCTTCATGTCTGTTCCCAACTCTGGGAGAAAAGTCCACTAACCAGTAAGTGCCAAATGAGTCTGCAGTAGGTCACCAGGGTAAAATACTCTTTGAGTAAAATAATATAAAGAGCAGTGCTGTAGCCTTTTAAATTAGAGAACACCTCGCCGAGGGCTCATCGGACAGGTAACGTCAATACCTGTCAGAACCTCTGCCCCAGTGGTTTGTATCTGAATTAGTGTGGGTCCTCAGTTTCTGGATGGGTTTCAGAGTCCTTCAGGCAAGTTGCTAGCCTGAACATGCTTTTGGAAAATGCACGGCCTGGGGGAAGAGATCCCTTGGCTCTCACTCTCTGTGCCAGGCACCGGGAGCCTACAGCTGTCTCTTGCACACCCATCAGTGACCCAGCAACAGTGTCCAATGCAGAGCGTTGCTCTTGGGTGGGGCAGTTTAGGCGAGCAATGGAATGATCCCAGATTTATCATGTCTGGCTTGGCAGCAAGGCAGGATGCATAGCGCCAGCCTTTGGCTCTGCAATTCAGACACGGCAGGGAGGATGGAATCTGCATGAGCCCTTCACTAGGAACTTTCCAGGCAAACAAACCAGGAGCAGGTGGTGTGAGGCATGTGAGTTGGATCCCAGGCTCCCAGCTGCCCTCCGGAAGGCATCCTGGAGGTCTCGCCTCCTCAGCCCAGGAGGTAGCTCCGACAGCACTACCTCCCAGGGTTTATAACCAATGGAGGGATAGTAGCGCACAGCAGAATAGGAAAAGAAACCCACTGTAGCCAGACAGCCACACCCCATCTCATCCATCTTATTTGCCTCTCTGAAGCATACAGGACAGAGAAGGAGCAGTAAAATCAGCATAGTCTATGCTGGCTCATCTGATCCTGAGGAGCTGAAAACCAGATATGTGGAGAGAGAGAGAGCGATTAAGGCAATCCGCATAGCCATCAAGCTTTGATCTGCTTTAATGCAAGATTAGGATATGCGAGTGTGCCCGGCTGGCACCTATGTTGATACGAACACACAGTCCCTGGGAGAGGAATCCCCCACTGAGAAAAGAATGCCCAGTACTTCCAATTTAATCATCTCAATTCTCTCTTACAAGTGTAAATTAAGTTCACAACTCCCTTGTAAGAACTGGTCTCACAGAAGACAGACCAGCCCCATTTGGCATGACAGACAAGAAAGAGAAATACGTGACCCCATGGGTATATAAGATGGGCCCAGCACACACTCACTTTGAGTGTCATTCTACCCTCTACCTGCTGGTCGGGTTAGGTGTTTGACCTCCCGAGGTTCTATGGGGACGCCCACCTCGTATTTTCGTCTTTCCTAGGAATTGAGGGACCGGCCCTGGCCTGACATGCTGGAGTCGAGAGGCACAGAAGGGGGTAAAAATTGTACCTGGATGTGGTCCTCTGTCTTAAGTGTACACATAGAAAGAGTAAGCTGTTACTTGGTACCATTATTTCTATTTTTCTATCTTTATCTTCTTTGTAACCATTTTTAAGATCTATATTTTGCTAGTAGTTAAGAAATAGAGCAATAGCCATTGCAACCATATGATTTATAAGCTTCTTTAATAAACCTGTAACTGTTTAAGTTTTAACCTGACTCCTTCAGTTGCTGTAATAGAACCAAGCACAATTTAAAAGAACTTCAGCCGGTCTTAAGGGACAGATATAGGGAGCCCTGACCGTCGGCTGACACCCACATTCCCTCAGTGCATCTGTATGGGGTGACACTCGCCCCTCATTCTCGTCTCCTTCAATCCCTCCATTCCAGATGCTGCAAAGGAGACACATCACAAGGTCCCTGACTCACAGCCCTGTAACCCCCAACGTCCCCGCCGGGTGTATCACAGCCCCAAATGCTGCAGCATCACTGTGGCGAGCTGGGAACCACCAGGGTACCAACCTGAAGTACTTTGCGATAGCCCAGACAGCGGCAGGCAAGCTACCCCTCAGCTCGCTCCAGGATGTGTGTGGTCCCTCTCATTACAGCATCTCACAATACTTAGTGAGCCACACTGCACCCCAGCGGCCTGAGGCACAGAGAGACTAAGTGACTCGCTCAAGGTCACACAAGGCATCTGTAGCGCAGCAGGGCTTGAACCCAGACCTCCACATCCTACACTAGTGCTTTAACCCACGACCGCCCTTCCTCTCACTGGCCTGGAAGCAGGACTGCCTGGGCCACAGGAAGAGGGAGGGTGAGTTAGCAATGAGGAGCGGGGGCAGCTAACCAGACCCTTTGGACTTGGAAGGTTCAGCTGGGGCTTGGTCTGCGTGTCAGACACAGGGACGGGAAGGGATGAGTTTTATGTGGAGTTGTAAAGGCCTGTGGTGAAACAAGAGGCCTTCCACCCAGGACCTGTCCCCACCCCTGCCCTCTGCTTCTCTCACCTGGAAGGTCAATAATGAGCCATCCATCCTCTTCCTCCTCCTCGGAGACAAAGGGTTTGGGTTCCTCCGGGCCCTCGGGTGCACTGCTGTCACTGAAGAAGAGGCTGGTGAGGCGCTGGAACATGGCTGGGGAATGGTTTCCAAGGTGAGCTTTGATGGGAAGAGAAGCAAAAGCCAAGTGCCCGCCTCAGAGCACAGAGATGGGGGCTGCTGGTGGGTGCCGGGTGGGAGAGTGGTGCTTGGGAATCCCGTCTGGGCGGACGAGTCCTTGCGACAGGCAGGAGCGCCTTCCTTCCTAGCGAACGCTTAGCTGAGCTGAGTTATGTATAGTGCAATCATGAGGTTCTTCACTTGGCTTCAGTGCAAAGGCCTGCAAAGAAAGGAGAAATTCATTCGCAGCCCGTGGAAAGCCAGCGCTTCCTGCATCACGAGCGCTTCAGATGAGCCGCAGGGAGGAGGGAGAGGAAACCCTGATAGGGATCTCAGCCTCAAGTCACTGCAATCACTTTCTTTTTATAGGGGCTGCTCACTGGGGAAGGCACAAGCCCTGTAGGCTGGTTGCTGCTTCTCTTTGATCCCTGACCGCCTTGCTCTTTTGCCACCCAGACCCCTACTGCAGCGGCCAGCTGCATTCGCACAGCGTTCCCATTCCCCTCGCTGGGCCTCGAGCAACCGCTTGTCTCTCACCCCGTTTTGCTTTTATCCATGTTGACGTGTTTTCCTCGAAAGCTAACGAGCCAGCCTGCCACTGGCTCTGCCCCTGACTTTGCAAAGTGCAGCCTAGCGCTCTGGCAGGACACACCACAGGGTAGGTCAGGAGACCCGAATTCTATGACTTGCCTTGCTGCAGAGCCACTGTTTGACCTTGGGCAAGTCAGCTCCCCTTGCTGTGCCTCAGTTTCCCTCTGTAAAATGGGGAATTGATGCCAATCTCTGAAAAGTGCCAAATATTATTATCTCACGATATCGTGCCAAATACTATGATTATGAAAAGCAAGGGATGAGTTAGGAGGTGGCACTGGACACACAAGAGTTCAGATGGTCACACAGACAGAGTAAGTGCAGAATTGGGCTAGAAAATGCAAAACAACAGACTTTCCCTGGTTGGGTCAGTGCTTCTCCGTCTGTTCAGAAGCAGGAAGCCAAACGGCAATGAAAATGGCCGGGCCACCCTCTCTCTTTCCCCCAGGGCATGAGACCACGCAAGCATGAAGGGCTGGTTTATAGCTATTGGGGTGGGTTAGTTAGTCCCCCCTTGAGTCAGGTGCATCCCTCTGTCTTCCCACTGGGGGCTCCACTGTGGGCAAGAGCTGGAGGCTTTGGAGTCTGACTTACACTGGTGGAAATGAGACCCCGGGCCACAGTCGGCGTAAATCAGGAGCCTGTTGATTTCAATGAAATTACTCTGGATTTCCACAGCCAAATCGGGGGTGGCTGATGAAAAGCTGCTTTGAAAGTGGCCTAAGGGCACGATCCTCTGGAGAAGCCGATTAGAATCGGGGGTGGGGACCTTTTTGGGGCCGGGGGCTGCTGACTCACAGAAAAATCAATGGGGGGCTGCACAGAAGCAGAAGCAAGAAAAAACAAACCCTGTAGCAGGCCCCTCCTGCTTGGTCCCGGAGGCTGAGGCAGGCAGTCTGGGGGCCAGGGGTACCCCTGGGGCAGAGCCAACAGCCCAACGCTGGGGCTGGTGGCTCAGCTGGGGGGAGGTTTTAGCAGGTACCAGGACCAGCTGGAACTGGGGGCAGCTGGGGCCCAGTTCTTGGGCGCCCAGACCTGAGGTGGCTGGGATGTGCCACCCGCCTGGCTCTCAGGAGCCCCGGAACTGAGGGTGGTTGGAGCCTAGTCACCTAACCAGCTCTTGGGTACCCCAGGGCAGCATTGCCTAGCTACCCTGGGTTTTGGGGCCAGTGGCCACAATGGGGCAGGGGGAACTGGGTCCAGAGGGGCTGGGTGTACTCGCTCAAGGTCACACAAGGCATCTGTAGCGCAGCAGGGCTTGAACCCAGACCTCCACATCCTACACTAGTGCTTTAACCCACGACCGCCCTTCCTCTCACTGGCCTGGAAGCAGGACTGCCTGGGCCACAGGAAGAGGGAGGGTGAGTTAGCAATGAGGAGCGGGGGCAGCTAACCAGACCCTTTGGACTTGGAAGGTTCAGCTGGGGCTTGGTCTGCGTGTCAGACACAGGGACGGGAAGGGATGAGTTTTATGTGGAGTTGTAAAGGCCTGTGGTGAAACAAGAGGCCTTCCACCCAGGACCTGTCCCCACCCCTGCCCTCTGCTTCTCTCACCTGGAAGGTCAATAATGAGCCATCCATCCTCTTCCTCCTCCTCGGAGACAAAGGGTTTGGGTTCCTCCGGGCCCTCGGGTGCACTGCTGTCACTGAAGAAGAGGCTGGTGAGGCGCTGGAACATGGCTGGGGAATGGTTTCCAAGGTGAGCTTTGATGGGAAGAGAAGCAAAAGCCAAGTGCCCGCCTCAGAGCACAGAGATGGGGGCTGCTGGTGGGTGCCGGGTGGGAGAGTGGTGCTTGGGAATCCCGTCTGGGCGGACGAGTCCTTGCGACAGGCAGGAGCGCCTTCCTTCCTAGCGAACGCTTAGCTGAGCTGAGTTATGTATAGTGCAATCATGAGGTTCTTCACTTGGCTTCAGTGCAAAGGCCTGCAAAGAAAGGAGAAATTCATTCGCAGCCCGTGGAAAGCCAGCGCTTCCTGCATCACGAGCGCTTCAGATGAGCCGCAGGGAGGAGGGAGAGGAAACCCTGATAGGGATCTCAGCCTCAAGTCACTGCAATCACTTTCTTTTTATAGGGGCTGCTCACTGGGGAAGGCACAAGCCCTGTAGGCTGGTTGCTGCTTCTCTTTGATCCCTGACCGCCTTGCTCTTTTGCCACCCAGACCCCTACTGCAGCGGCCAGCTGCATTCGCACAGCGTTCCCATTCCCCTCGCTGGGCCTCGAGCAACCGCTTGTCTCTCACCCCGTTTTGCTTTTATCCATGTTAACGTGTTTTCCTCGAAAGCTAACGAGCCAGCCTGCCACTGGCTCTGCCCCTGACTTTGCAAAGTGCAGCCTAGCGCTCTGGCAGGACACACCACAGGGTAGGTCAGGAGACCCGAGTTCTATGACTTGCCTTGCTGCAGAGCCACTGTGTGACCTTGGGCAAGTCAGCTCCCCTTGCTGTGCCTCAGTTTCCCTCTGTAAAATGGGGAATTGATGCCAATCTCTGAAAAGTGCCAAATATTATTATCTCACGATATCGTGCCAAATACTATGATTATGAAAAGCAAGGGATGAGTTAGGAGGTGGCACTGGACACACAAGAGTTCAGATGGTCACACAGGGCACGTAAGTGCAGGATTGGGCTAGAAAATGCAAAACAACAGACTTTCCCTGGTTGGGTCAGTGCTTCTCCGTCTGTTCAGAAGCAGGAAGCCAAACGGCAATGAAAATGGCCGGGCCACCCTCTCTCTTTCCCCCAGGGCATGAGACCACGCAAGCATGAAGGGCTGGTTTATAGCTATTGGGGTGGGTTAGTTAGTCCCCCCTTGAGTCAGGTGCATCCCTCTGTCTTCCCACTGGGGGCTCCACTGTGGGCAAGAGCTGGAGGCTTTGGAGTCTGACTTACACTGGTGGAAATGAGACCCCGGGCCACAGTCGGCGTAAATCAGGAGCCTGTTGATTTCAATGAAATTACTCTGGATTTCCACAGCCAAATC